GTTTTTTTTTGTCAGGAAAAAAGCAATCCCATTCGGGCAAACAATTGTGTACAGCTTTTGGGATTACCGGGGCATATTGGCGCTCCTGAACCATCAAATTACCCTTTTAAAGGGACCTAATGGAGAATCCATTATCTGAAACACGAGATCGTCAGGTGAGGTCGTTGGAGTGCTGACATGCTATCTCGTGACCCTCACGTGGCTCATTAGCCATGGCTCAAAGGAAATATTTTCCAATTCTGACGCTCTTGCAAACTAGGAAAGAGCTATGTTGAGGAAGAAATAGGCAAGAGACCACTCTATCTGCAGTTTTAATACTTTCAACACTACTATATAACAAATAATTTGAGGTAAGATTAAGTTCCAATGTGTAACTGGTTCTCTCAGGAGACCAGACCTCACATCTTTTGGTAAGCCTTCCTTCAGGAGGGCTCTAATGAAACGAATAAAGATAAAACAAAGCTAACAGCTGCCGTGTCATGCTCATCCTTTGAGAGGGTGACCCTTTTTTAGGAGCAGGTACCCCTAACTTGGCTCATATCTTTGGCTAAAAATCGTCATCCTTTCACCAAGATCTTGGTTTTTTGGTTCAGGGAAAAAAGCAATCCACAGTTCTGGGCAATACAGATTGTGTACAGCTATTGGATGTACTCTGGGCAGTATTGGGCTGCATCCTGAACACATCTAATTACATGCCTTTTATGGACCTAATGGAGAATCCATTATCTGAAACACGAGATCGTCAGGTGAGGTCGTTGGAGTGCTGACATGCTATCTCGTGACCCTCACGTGGCTCATTAGCCATGGCTCAAAGGAAATATTTTCCAATTCTGGACGCTCTTGCAAACTAGGAAAGAGCTATGTTGAGGAAGAAATAGGCAAGAGACCACTCTATCTGCAGTTTTAATACTTTCAACACTACTATATAACAAATAATTTGAGGTAAGATTAAGTTCCAATGTGTAACTGGTTCTCTCAGGAGACCAGACCTCACATCTTTTGGTAAGCCTTCCTTCAGGAGGGCTCTAATGAAACGAATAAAGATAAAACAAAGCTAACAGCTGCCGTGTCATGCTCATCCTTTGAGAGGGTGACCCTTTTTTAGGAGCAGGTACCCCTAACTTGGCTCATATCTTTGGCTAAAAATCGTCATCCTTTCACCAAGATCTTGGTTTTTAGGTTCAGGGAAAAAAGCAATCCACAGTTCTGGGCAATACAGATTGTGTACAGCTATTGGATGTACTCTGGGCAGTATTGGGCTGCATCCTGAACACATCTAATTACATGCCTTTTATGGACCTAATGGAGAATCCATTATCTGAAACACGAGATCGTCAGGTGAGGTCGTTGGAGTGCTGACATGCTATCTCGTGACCCTCACGTGGCTCATTAGCCATGGCTCAAAGGAAATATTTTCCAATTCTGACGCTCTTGCAAACTAGGAAAGAGCTATGTTGAGGAAGAAATAGGCAAGAGACCACTCTATCTGCAGTTTTAATACTTTCAACACTACTATATAACAAATAATTTGAGGTAAGATTAAGTTCCAATGTGTAACTGGTTCTCTCAGGAGACCAGACCTCACATCTTTTGGTAAGCCTTCCTTCAGGAGGGCTCTAATGAAACGAATAAAGATAAAACAAAGCTAACAGCTGCCGTGTCATGCTCATCCTTTGAGAGGTGACCCTATTTTAGGAGCAGGTACCCCTAACTTGGCTCATATCTTTGGCTAAAAATCGTCATCCTTTCACCAAGATCTTGGTTTTTTGGTTCAGGGAAAAAAGCAATCCACAGTTCTGGGCAATACAGATTGTGTACAGCTATTGGATGT